GAGGCGGTAAAGCATGGCATTTGGTGGGTGGCGGCGGCCGGACCGCAATTCATTAGGCCAGAACCGGAGCTGGAGACTTGAGGGTCACGCCAGGAAGAGAGAGACGGAAAGGCTTGAATTGTTGTAGGCTTCGCAAAGACTGTGCCATTGAACCCCAGGTCTGCCATAAATTCTTTCGACAACCGAAACGCGGCACCCGTGAACCAGATTAATTGGTTTGACTATCATTTTCTCGTTTTGGGGATCATTAGCAAACAAAATAACTCCCCGGGGAGCATAATCGTTATTCGCAGGACCCGCTGATTGAGATGTTTGCTGGCCGGTGATTATAGACACCATGTTCACACTTTCACAGAGTAGCCCATTTCTTTGACCGTTTGCGCGGTAAAGTCACGTGCAGCCTTGCCCGGGAAGTGGGTCCACTGCGCAGGGTCGAACCGGAAGCGGCAAAGCTATCTAGCGGCAAAACGTGGCGCTTTTAGACAGAAACAGGAGCGGTCCGCGGCGCTGAAGTGATGGAGGAGCGGCTTCGCGCCCCAGGGTCGGGTCGGGCACGAACCCGCGGCCACCAGCACTCTGGCTCCGAAAATACTGTTCCGACGCTTTATATCTCTCTCGTTTCCCTGCGGAACGCCACACGAGCGCGACGGAGACAAGGCAATACTACAGAATCAGGCGGCTGGCCCAGGCCGGCAACCTAACCTCCATAAACCGACGCGTGCCACTCAATTAGGAGCAATAAGCCAGCATTTACATGCACCCTGTCCTCACTCGGACCTCAATTTAGACATCAGGCACGATGGTTTGATTACACGGCTCGGGAAGGATGGCCTGTCAAAAAACGGTGGACGCGAAAACGGTTTTTGGTGGTGTCGGAAGCTCAGGGAAGTCGGCAAAGACAGGAATCGTGTGGCCGCGCTTCGTCGTACCGCTGACAGGCAGCCTTGTGGGAAGCCCGGCGCTCTAGTATTGAAAAAATATAATTAATGGCCAACACTGCAGGCCACCACTACATCGACACCCAGTAAGTCTTGGACTTGCTGTAGGGACTCGATCCAATTCAAAACACCTGTTGATTCTGGGCGATTTTATAAAAGGATTATGTTAAGGGTCCAAACCAAATCTCCAATGTTTCAGATAATCTTCGCAGGGAGAGAATCAACATTTCGCGACTCCCCCCTTCATTGTGTGCGCCTACTGGTGTGCAGGTCAGCCAATCGGCCACCTCCAGGAATATCCCCGACTTCGGCCATGGTGTAATTAGCAATGGGCCCGTTGTGTTTGGCCCGCGTTTGGCCCGCGTCCGGCCGCGTTCGGTCCGTAAATGGGGTCTTGTTACGGCCACAGCCGCGTCATGCACAAGGGCAAGGGCACCGACACCAACATGGGAACAATTCACACGGAAAAATTGCAAAGATTTCGCGAGAGTTTTATTTCGAAGGATAAGGTTTGTAAGGGTCAGCGTTGCAGTGACCGCTGCGAGATTCTGACGTGGCACAGTGCGTCAGCTCGCGTCAGCCGCGAGCCACGCACGACATCATAAGAGGCCGTTAAAGTGGCGGTAAAAACAACACGTCTGGCCGCCGCGAAATGAGACATAGTTCAGCTGCTTTGGTCTTGATTAGAGAAAAGGGGCAGCGGGAGTTGGAAACTTACAATCGGAGCCGGGCGAGAAGTCCAGCATGCAAGCAACTCGACGCTTCGGCCCCGCCCGACCACACCCCGAATGTCGCACTCGTCCTTATCAGCAACATGCAACGCCCTTGGCAAGGCCCTCTGCACAACAAGAGGAAAAAACGTCCGCGGACGAATTGCCGAGATGTTTTGTCAGAGCACGAGGCGGTCGGACCCACCATGCAGACAAATTGTCGACGACGGACAGTTTATGGAAGGTCGAGTTGTCGGGCGAGCCGCGGCGTCGCGCGGGGAGGGCGGTCAGGTGGCGACGCGGACCACGCTTACACTAGGCGGGACACATGTAAACGAACGAAGTGACGATCCGGTACACCAGAGCCTGCGCGAGGTCTTAGTGAAATCAAAACGGTCACTGTGGTCATCTATGAAAAACTTAAGGACTTAGACCCATGTCTTGAATTCCAGCAAAATAAAAGCGCGAAACAACGCGGAACGCAGCACTCATGCTTTATGAACCGTGTACGTTGCATCACGCTATCGCGGTATCTTCGTACTTCTTTTCGCGTCGGCGGCCATGCGGCCATGCCATGCGGCTGTGCAGCAGGGCGGCGTGAAGGAAGGCCCCCGGGCCCGTACGCCTGCCGTAGGCCTCCTGCACAGTATCACTGGAAATCGGTGCCGGGCGAAACGGTCCAGCGAGCGCGTCGGCGGGGCGAGGCCTATCGGGCATCAATCACACATTCAGCAGATTTGGGCCGCCGTCCTTGCCTTGATTCCTTCCGTTGCAAAAGGCGGACCAGAGCCATGCCAGAGCCATGCCAGAGGCCGCGCGGCGCGGAATGGGTCGCCGATTGTCAGCAGCACTAAGAGCCTTAAGAATCGCAAGAAAAAATACAAAGCCAATTTGAATGAAAAAAAAAAACCTTTTCAAAAATGTAGGCATACAAATGTATCAGCCGACGGAAAGGCGTGTTGCTGTCCACGGTTTCAAAACAATAAAATAGCGACGATTTGAAGTTGTTTTTGGACCCGGACAAAGCACCCCTTTGTTTGGCGCGCGCCTTGTCGAACACGCCGACGCTGCGTCGCGACGCTGCCCTTGGGGTGTGCCGGCCACACTGCGCCCCGCTGCCCTTGAGACGGGCCAAAATGCATCCCGCATCAGGTGATGTCCAATCTGAGCGTCCTGACCAGCACCCTGCTGCAGCCCGCGGCGTGGCGCGGCGTGGCGTGGCGCGGCCAGCAGGACAATATACACGGCTTCGTGACACGGAAACCAAATAAACGCGTTCTGGTCGTGCCTGCGGCCTGCGGACATGACAGTGTCGACGTCCCAAACAAGGCTTTTTCATACAAGTGCACTCGGACGCACACGGCTTTCGACGCTGTGACTCATTACAGTGTCGAAGAACACGGCGGACAAAAAGGGAAGCCGGTGACTGGAGTTTTCCACGTGCAAGGCGAGCAGTCTGTAAACTGGAATGCCTGGCAGCTTGCGGCTCGCCTGCGGCCATCTGCATTCCGAGCCCAAAACAATAACGTCCCTGGCATTGAGGCAGGCTGGCTGGGCCAGGCTGGGCCTCGAGGACGGGCTCCACGGACGCGGCCACCAATCTGGCTCTCTCGATCAGAGCAAGCAGTGCTACACAGCCTAGGACCGCCCCGCCCTGACGCGCTGGCGTGTCCCTGGGGGAGACACGCACACACACAGGCACACGCATACACTCACAACCTCCCGCGCATTTCTGACCGCGCGTTCCGAAAACCGGAAACCGCAGCCGCAGTTGTGGACACGTTCCTTTTCCAGCGTCCTTACGATTCTAAAAAAAAATGGCTTCGTGTGCGTACGGACAGCAGGGCTTGAGGAGGCTTGCAGGGAAGGGCAGTTTGTTGTTGTTGTTAGGAGAGGCGTGTCCCATCTGAGGACAACGGGCCACCTCGATCAGGTTAATGGCATATTGACTGACGTCACAGTAAACTTCCCATCAAGCCTTCAGGGGCCGATACGTTCCTTTGCGAATGCAACAACAAACACACTGTCGCCGTTTTTCTTCCGTTTCTTTCCTCTGGAATCATTTTGAAAAATATTTATTGAAGCTCGACCCGGAAGCACATCTGGCCCACTAACACGGCGTTTTTAGCTAATTAGCCACAGAAAAATGGAGGGGATATCCCAACACGTTAGCAAGTGCAACACTGCGTTAGTACAAAAACAAACACTTCGTCCGGAGCAGCGACGGGCCGCTTAAAACCTATCCCAAAGTAACGATCTCGTGGACGGCTTCTAATCGTTGATTTGAAAAATGCCCATCCATATCGTAAAAACGGCGCTGTGCTGGCCGCGGCCGCCCTGGGGCTGCGGGGCAGTGCGTCGAGCCGTCGTTGCCGCCCGGTGGGCCAGGCCATTGGGCCAGGCCCGTGGCATTCCGAAAGTTGTTTACTCTGTCCCTCTCGCACCCATGCGGGATACCTCGTCAGTGCGAGAGAGACGGAGCGACGAAAAGGAGTCGCGGAACCAGCATGCTGTGACCGCCTTTGGCCAGCCTATAGATTGCCGTTAATTGCGGGGTTAACACAGCACTGCAGCCTGCACCCACTGCATCAACTGCAAGGCCGACCCAGAACATGTCCCTGCTAATTAACCTCATCCTGGACTTCCCTGCACATTCTTAGCAAAACGAAACGCTGCGCCCTCCTCAAACGTAGGGAGTAAGTTACGACGACGCAGCTGTACGAAGTTAGTGTGATTGATCTGCATATGAATGGCGCTTCCCGCGCGACAAGGCGATCTAGTTATTTGTGGAAGCCAACTAAACACAGACGCTGAGTTATAGCTCCGGCTATTACCCGAGAAGCGACATCGATCAAAGGCCCTTGCAGGACATTAGCGATGCACGATGCACGGCCCCGCTACCATATCGTGTTGATGGAAACGCACTCAGCACTCGTTTTTTAGGCGCAGAGTCCGCGGAGCAGGGGCACACAAATCTAAGGAATTGAAAAAGCGGTACGAAGGGAGAAGCTAACATCAAGACAGCGAGTCAAGTCGACTGACGTGAGTGGTAGCCTTTGAAAAAGTTTCATGTCTCCTCAGTCTCTGTGCAGCACACTCATTGTAGTTCCCTGGATTTTGCATCAGGCAGCACAAAACCGAAGGCTTCTCCCGCTTTTTGACCGGGTTCTGGCCAGCAGAAGGTCTGCATGTCCAGCCAGGGCTCCAGCCAGGGTTCCTGGGCCGTCGGGTGGGGGCGTCTGGAGGGGGCCCTGACAGGCGCCGCCCCGGCCAGGCCAGACCAGGGGGTCCTCCCCGGGGGTGGGGGCAAGCCGGGGCAAGCGCGGGCAAGCGGCGGTGACAGTGTCCGGCGGTGGCTGCCTTGTATATAAGCCGCAGCCAGCTCACCTCCTGTGTCCAGTAGTGTGTGTGTGAGTGTGTTGTGTGCAAGTTCTCCCTCAGTCCTCAAGATGGCTTTCAAGGTAAGGCGCCCAACGCCCGCACCCTAGCCGTAGTGGACGCCGCCCAGTGGATATACTTTCGGGCCCCAAGACACCTGGATTCAGTTAAACAAGTGGTGAACCAGTTACCAGCGTAACCGTGCCGTCATATCAGATACGATGTGGCCGGCCGAAAGTGACCCTCTCCAACCGGATTTGCAGTGAAGCCGTGTAGAAAGTGAATTTTGGTCCTGCCGGCGCGGCTGAGCCTGATTGAAAAAGGTGCCGCCAGACACAGCAAGACTCAAGCTGGAATTACTGAACGTTTCAAAATAGGCAAACTGAGCGATGTGGCCTGAAGTGCAAGTGAATCTCGAAAGACTAAACAACATAATAACATGTGGATAAATGAGACCAAAATTTAGTGCATTTAAAAATGTTGTTTTAAGTGACAGTATCATGTAACAATGTTTTTCACTTTTGTTATATTGAATTATGTTTTTTTTTAAATTAACTGTGCACTAAGTTCGCGATACCTTTTGATAAAAACTGTTTGCTTTTTCTATTTCCCTGTAAAATAACTCTAAAATGATTTCACGCCGACGCGTTGCACTGCCAGCCGGTAGCCAGAGCGCACCGTGTGACGGGACAGCTGTGACACTGCGACGGTCATGCGGCGTGTGACACACGGCCGTGACGACGCGACGTGTAATCACCGGTATCGGGGCGATCGGCTAGTGCGTGACTGTTTGAAATATGCAGCCAGTTAGTTGTCATCCAGGGGCCGATTATCGTGATCGGTGCCGTCGGGCCCGTCGGGCCGGCCGGGTCGGGTCGCGGGGCATTTTAATTCGAGTCACTTGCCTGCAAACATGGCCGGCCGGGCTGCAGGCTGGAGCGGCCCACGCTCTATTAATAACTCTTTGACCAGACGGGCGATCCTTAAATGGCGGCGGCAGACCGGCCGCCGAGGCAGCGAAGCACAGCGAAGCAGGGCAGTGCAGCGCCAAGGCCAGCGCCGGCAAGGCCGCCGACGCCAAGGCCACGCGGCCAAGGTCACACCGCCAAGGCCGCCGCGCCTGCCGCCCTGCCGAATCGGGTTTCTATCGGCCTGGCCCTTGGCCCCGACCTGGTGGCTCCAAAGATAGACATGTCTTTTAGGGGTCGATATTTGTTCTACTTGGTACCAATAAACTTGAAAAACGTGCAAAGGCCGAAATATTTGACCGGTTAGGCACTTTTTTGTCACTCTTGCACCCCATGACGATGATCGTTCTCTTGTCTGCCCACAGAACCTTGTCGTCCTTCTCTTCGCCGTGGCGGCTGTCAACGCCGGCGTCATCGGCTACGACGCGGCCCCCGCCGTCGTCAAGACCATCGCCCCCGAGCCCTACGCCAACCCCGAGTACTCGTACAACTACGGCGTGCACGACAGCCACACCGGGGACATCAAGGACGCCCAGGAGAGCCGATCCGGCGACCACGTCGTCGGCCAGTACTCCCTGGTCGAGCCCGACGGCACCAAGCGCATCGTCGACTACACCGCCGATGACGTCAACGGTTTCAACGCCGTCGTCCGCAAGGAGGGAGTTGCGGTCCACGCCGCCCCCGTCGTCAAGGCCGTCGCCCCCGCCGTGTCTTACGCCGCCGCCCCCGCCGTGTCCTACGCCGCTGCCCCCGCAGTGTCCTACGCGGCTCCCGCCCCCGCTATCGTTAAGTCCTACGCCGCTGCCCCGGCTGTGTCCTACGCTGCTGCCCCTGCTGTGTCCTACGCGGCTGCCCCCGCCGTGTCCTACGCCGCTGCTGCGCCCGCCATCGTTAAGTCCTACGCCGCCCCCGCAGTGTCCTACGCCGCGGCTGCCCCCGCGATTGTTAAGTCCTACGCCGCCCCCGCTGTGTCCTACGCCGCTGCTGCCCCCGCGGTCTCCTACGCTGCTGCTGCCCCCGCGGTCTCCTACGCTGCTGCTGCCCCTGCCATCGTGAAGTCCTACGCCGCTCCCGCTGTGTCCTACGCTGCCCCCGCTGTGTCCTACGCCGCCCCCGCTGTGTCCTACGCGGCCGCCCCCGCCGTCGTCAAGTCGTACGCCGCTGCCCCCGCCGTGTCCTCATCGTACATCAGCCAGTCTAGCTCCTACGGCTACGCCGCTGCTGCCCCCGCCGTGTCCTATGCCGCTGCCCCCGCTGTGTCCTACGCCGCTGCTGCTCCCGCTATCGTCAAGTCCTACGCCGCCCCCGCAGTGTCCTACGCCGCTGCCGCCCCTGCCATCGTCAAGTCCTACGCCGCCCCCGCTGTGTCCTACGCCGCCGCCCCCGCTGTGTCCTACGCTGCTGCCCCCGCGGTGTCCTACGCTGCCGCCGCCCCCGCCATCGTCAAGTCGTACGCCGCCCCCGCTCTGTCCTACGCCGCCGCCCCCGCAGTGTCTACGGCGCTGCGTTAGCCGACCCCAACTGCCGCTACGGCCACGGCGCTCCTCTCTACTAAGCGCCCCTTCGACCGACCCCCGGCCCGCGACCCCGATGTACATAGTTGGCTCCGACCCCGCGCGTCGGGCCGGGGGATATTCCTGCGAAGTCTCGTCATCGCTTCACTCGCCATCCATTCACCACCTCACGCGTTAACATATTGCTAACGCCATCACCTCGCCCACCATTGTCAGAATACTGTATTTATTTATTTATTCTGCCATAATGTGTCCATCAGGGCAAAATAAAAGAAAATACAAAAGATACAGAGTTGAGTCTCATTGTTCCCACTGTGTGTCCATGTAGCACCAGGGGCACCGGCGCTGTGAGTGTTTTCCTTTCGCCTCGCTCCGCCCCGTCCGTGATGTATGTAAAGTTGGTGGGCCGGTCGGCCTGCAGGTGTTGCCAGTGGACCAGTTTCCAAGTCAGCAGGGCACGGTCAGGGCATCAAAATCAAGTTACGCGCTAGCGCGTCACCGGCCACTACTATCTACAGGTTAAGACACTCTTCGTTACATGCCTGACATTCCGTACACAAACCTTCACAAAAGAATGAAATAAAAATGAAGAGCCACTACACCGCGACCTTGGCCGGCAAAAACAAAAATACTTACCCTCCGCGCGTCTCTACCACCCCGGGAGCACGAGAATCAAATTAAGGTCCATTGTGACTAAGTGCTCGCTCGGGCCATACACAGCTCGAGTAGCCGCGCGCGGCATTGACCGCGTAGAGCGCAGCAGTGCGGCAGCGCGGCAGCGCGGCGAGGGAGGAGCCGGTTCTCACCGATACACATTCCAGCCGCAAACTGGGTCGAAATGCTCGTGACGCAATTCTCAAATGAATCTTCTCGTTTTGTGTGCGGCTCTAATCTGATTCGGAAAGGGATTCGTCTGGCCGCCAGTGAGGGGCGGGGCGGGGCGGGGCCAGGCGAGTGCATCACCGAAACGGCCCCTGCTTTGGGATTCGCCGGTCGGCCGCAGCGGCGCTCGATTTATGTCCAAATTGTTTTTGCCGTACATGGCGCGGACACTGTAACCAGGGCAGCAGAAACAAGTTTCCATCTACGCGTGCGCCAAAATGGACGATATTTGGAACAAACGAATGAAACGGTCCGTTGGAGAGATGTTAAGTGTTCAGTCAGGAGCTGTCTTCTTGTCGAACGAATCCAACAAGGCACAGCTATGCCGTTCGGGACGTTCGACACGTGGAAACAAAACAATGCTGCCCACCACGCGGCACGGCGCGGCACGGCGCGGCTCGCCGAAGGCCTCTGACTCAATGCGCGCGTCCATCATCGTCTGCCGGTCCGAGGGAAGCGATTTCAATGAAGGGAAGCAATCAAAACGGGCCGCGGGGCAAGCGGACACACCTTCTCGCTCGCACTCACGGGTCGTGCCGTGTTGGGGTGCGAGGTGCGAGAGAGACAGAGCGACAAAACAGCTTGCAGAGGTTGAGCTCTATCCAGTGCATCCGGGACGCGACCCCGGACACGCCCCCACACTGCAAAGCACTGCAAAGCCAGGCCGACTTCCGTCGCGCTAAAGACACGCGTTTAACCGGCCTGCCGTGTCACACACACACGCGCGTACACACACACGGCCGTGACCTTGAAGAAAACAGCAATCGCAGACTTGCGATTTCAGCTCGAAACCAAGCTCTTCCCTCGCATGTCGGTTAAAAGCGCCATTAGCGTCACCGTCTCGGATGCGCGCCGACCGACCGGCAGCAAGCGCGGTCCCGCCGCGTTACTGGGGCAGCGCGGCGCAAAGGGTAAAAATAAAAGCGCTTGCCATTCCTCGCTACCCTTCGAGACAAAACGACCAAAATTCAACGGGCAACACTTTTTGTGCGACGGTGCGTGTGTGGGACACTGTGGACCAGTTTGGCCGCGCGTTCGTTTTCTTTTGGCGCGCGCCGCAGCGCCGCAGCGCTGCAGCGCCATCTAGCGGCGTCCTGCGGGACCCGCCAACGACCTTGCCGCCCCTTCCAAACTGGTTCAGGCGACCCGCCACAGAGGGCGGCACTGGTGTCTGCGCGCAGAGGAGGGAAATACGGCGGCCAAAATCGGCGAGGGTTTGATACAAAACGGAGGTTAGCGCAGAAAAATGGTGAATTGAAAGGAAAGAAACAAACGGTCATGACAAGCACGTCCTCTATTGAGCGCAGTGCCGGCTTCCTCCCAAGGCCGCAGACCCGATTTTCGCGCATTCGAAGCACGGCCTGCGGCGCGTGCGAGCGCGTGCCAAGGCGATTTCAGCCCCTTGCGCTGCGCTAGCCGGAGGGACGCATTGAACAGGCCGACTTCACTTGAACAGCAACGAACCAAAATGGTCTCATCGTCTCGTAGAGCTAGCCGTGGCGCCAGGCATGGCCCGGCCCCGGCCCCATCCCGCAGACGTGCAACTAAACCAACCTTTCGGAGGCGCGCTAGGAATGCAGCCAGTGACGCGCCTCGCGGCGGACGTGTAACAAGCCCCCACCCCGCCAAACATTTTAAAGCCCCCCCCAAAAAAAAAAAAAAAAAAAAAAAACGGAGTGATAGGTAGTTGAGTGCGCGATTCATACATGGCACTTACAATTAAAAAGTAAGTCACAGTTTGAGTGTCATTTCAGGCCTGTGACATGACGGACGCGGGAGCAAGGATTGTAACATTGTGGGCGCGTGGGAAGTGAATACGGGAAAGTGCATCGAGGATGAAAAATTCACCAATTTGCCCGAGCTGATTGGGAGAGGACGAAGAAGACAAAGAAGACGAAGAAGATGAAGATCGACGGCGGGAGAAGACGCACTAGGCGTCCGCCCTGACCCGGCCGACGCGGGCTGCCGGCGCGCCATGCCACGCCCCTCCTAGTCTATAAGAGGGGTTGCAGCGGTGACATCGCGACGCAGACATGGAGCGGCAGGTGAGCTGGACTATCGCCCCGGACGACACGCCAGTGGACACGCCCGGGGGCGACGTCGTCGGCCGACATGCAAACAGTGCTGCCACTGGCCGCCAGTCCGGACGAGCAGTCCGAGTGCCGCCTGTTCAAGTTTGCCCGCTGCAGCAGGTGCTGGTGTTGCTGCTGTGCCTGGCGCCGGCGTGCCGGGCCGCCAACCCGCACTACCAGTTCAGCTACGGCGTGTCGGACGCGTCCACCGGGGACGTCAAGACGCAGACGGAGACGCGCGTGGGCGGTGCGGTGCAGGGCTCCTACACCCTGCTGGAGCCCGACGGCACCACGCGCACCGTGCACTACACGGCGGACGACGAGCATGGCTTCAACGCCGTGGTGCAGCGCGGCGGCGCGGCGCACGTGAGTACAGGCCTCGCAACGCCTTGCCGACAAATTTCCCAGTGTGTGAGGAGAAGGGGCTGCACCAGATGCACCACAAGATGGACTCGGACTATGGATGAATAGTGCTTCGTGCATTACTGTAAGACCTTTCACAGTGAACATTTAGAGACACCACGCTATTGACACCACTTTCGTCCGCAGGGGCAGCTGGGCGGCGCGGCGCCCGTCGTCTCGCACCACGGGCTGGCCGTCAACACCGTGAACTACGCCGGCCAGTCGGCGCACGGCCTCGCGCTGGCGCCCTACAACCAGGGCGTGGCGCTGCCGGCACTGCCCTACGCGCAGCCGCTGTCCTACGCGGCGCCGGGCGCCGTCCCAGCCGCCAAGGGCTACGTGGCGTCCTCGTACGCGTCCACGCCGGTGGCCGTCAAGTCCTACGCGGCCCACGCCCCGGCCCTGGTGTACGCGGCGCCCGCCTCCACCGCGCACTACCAGACGCACTACGCGGCGCCGGCCATCGCGCCCTACTCCAGCGCCGTCCCCGCGCACTACACGGCGCCCGCCTTCAAGTCGTACGCCCCCGTGGCGCCGTTGCTCGGGCAGTACGCGCCGCCACCGCTGGCGTATGCCTCCGTGGCGCCGGCGGTCAAGTCCTACGCGCCCACCGTCCCAGTGGGCTACGTGGCACCCTCACTCGGATCGCACTCCGCTCTGCCCCTGGCCTACGCACCCGCGTCGCCGGCGGTCAAGTCGTATGCACCTGTGGCGCCCTCGCTGGGGTCCTACTCGTCCATACCCCTGGCTTACGCACCCGCGTCGCCAGCGGTCAAATCCTACCCACCTGTGGCGCCCTCGCTGGGGTCGTACTCGTCCGTACCTCTGGCTTACGCACCCGCGGCGCCAGCGGTCAAGCAGCACATCGGCCAGGTGCAGTCCGTGCTGCCGACGTCGTACTCCTTCTCCAGCTTCCCCACGCACTACGCCACGCCGCCAGTGGTGCTGCAACCCGGCGGCCTGGGCCTGGGGACGCAGCTGCACACGGCTGACGACAGCCAGCAAGTGCTGCTGCCCTCACACCGATAGCGCCACCCAAGACCGTCGACCCTTTATCTCAAGGCCAACGAAACCAAAACGGAACCTCGCACCGCTACAGCGAAACGTCCTCAGTGAGAAGGAGTCTGCACACGTTACTATTCATTAGTCAGGGCCCGGAAGGCAATATATCCTATTTTTCCTGTGCTTAGAATACATAAAGACAAGTCTATTGTGATGCCGGCTCATTCAGGAAATGAACCAGCGCTTAAAAATACGGAATAAAAAAAAGTTCCTTGAGCCCACTTGTAGAACACGGGAAACTGACCTTCCCTGTCGCCTAGACGTTTCACGCCAGCCACTCGGCACTCACCTGGAATCAGAAAAAAGACACGCATTTTTACACACTTTTCATTGTATTTTTAACTGACTGAAACAACGAACGAGTCAACTCTTCTAAAAACATTTCCCATCGTGCACCACTCGAGCGAGCCTCGTCGCCAAGGCATCTCGCCCGGCGGGACACCTCCGCGCGCCGCCAGGTATTCAGATAATTCCGACGCAATGCGACGCGACACACGCGTGACAAATAAATGAGTCGCGGCTGCGTGCGAGAAGTGGAGCAGAAGGGACTGAGTTTGGGCAGCGGCCGTGACAGGCAAGGTAGACGTGTTGTCCTGATGTGCATGCGGCGCCGCGGCGGCACCGCGCAGAGAGCCTCCGCCGCGTGCGCTACGAGGAGAACAGTGGCACTCGGAGGCAACAAAAAAAGGAAAAGAAGGTTCAAACTGGATTTCGCACCGCCGTTGTTGCTTCAGAGATTAGAGAAAAGCGACCCGTTTTCAGGGCAGACGCGGCGAATTCAACAAAGAATTGTGCGTGTCAGGGGGGAAGACTAAATAAATTTTGAGGTGTAGTAATTTTTTTGCAAGCTTAACCTCTGCGCACTAACACACAAAGCAGCTCGTGCGGCCGAAAACAGTGGACAGGCGTGCGTCCTCGCGCACAACGAGCACCGACTGCAACCAGATCACCCGACTGCTGCTGAATGAACTTCCGAGCCACAAAAGCCATTGAGGCCCACTTTGCGTTGGATTTACACCGCCAGCCGGCGATAAATTATCATCACGGCGCGCCAGTGCGTCCGTCGCCCTGCCTCGCTCGCACTCGCTGGGCGTCCCGCACCGGTGCGAGAGGGACAGAAAGCACTCCGGATGCAGCCTGCTGGCACGCAGTCGGCGCGTGTCTCTTGGCGTATAGGCCAGGCCCCGACCCCGCCTGTCCGCGCCGCTAAATTAAGAGTCCGCGTCAACATTTCAACAAGGAAGGCCCCCTTTTCTATTTGGACAGCACGCCTAGCCCGGTCCGGCCTGCAAGGCTGCGCGACAAAGCCACCGAGCAAAACCGGAGCCAACTGCAGCGTAGGACACATCCTTCAGGACGGAAAAACGCATTCTGTTGCATCAGCCGGCCGGGTTTCTGGACCAGCTGCACAAAAATAAAAGAGGAATCTATAAAAAGGAGTTAAAAAGAACTGGTCTGAACAATCAGCTGCAGCTTGCGTGCTGAGAAGCGCTTCCTTTTTTCTCGGACACCAAGGTGGACGCGGCGTGTCACGCGGCCCCACCCTCAGACGCCACGCCCCGCGAGGACCCGCGAGGACCCGCCAAGCCCGCGGATCTACAGGATGGGTCCGTGCCCGACCTGCCCCACCACGGCCACCCCACCGAGCCGCGCCCACCAGGAGCCGAAATGCGTATATAAGCCACACGGACAGTCGGAATCAGCACACTCAACGGTCCACCAGCCAGCAGCACCAACATCATGGCATTCAAGGTACGCCCAGCTCACCATAGCCAGATTTCATGAAGTAACAGAAACAATGAATTAAAAATCACTAATAAAATTGATTTTGATTCTAGTTCGTCGTCCTCGCCGCCCTGGTGGCCGTGGCCCAGGCCGGTCTCCTCCCTGCCGCCCCCCTGGCCTACTCATCCCCCGTCCTGGCCAAGACCGTCGTCGACACCGACTTCGACCCCAACCCCAGCTACAGCTACGCCTACGACATCCAGGATGGTCTGACCGGCGACTCCAAGAACCAGCACGAGTCCCGCCAGGGTGATGTCGTCCAGGGCCAGTACTCCCTGAACGATGCTGACGGCACCCGCCGCATCGTCGACTACACCGCCGACCCCGTCAACGGCTTCAACGCCGTGGTCCGCAAGGAGCCCCTCGCCGTCGCCGCCCCCGTCGTCGCCAAGGCCATCGCCCCCGCTCCCCTGGCCTACTCTGCCCCCCTGAGCTACGCCGCCCCCATCGCCAAGACCATCGCCCCCGCTCCCCTGGCTTACTCTGCCCCTCTGAGCTACGCCGCCCCCATCGCCAAGACCATCGCCCCCGCCCCCCTGGCCTACTCTGCCCCCCTGAGCTACGCCGCCCCCATCGCTAAGGCCTACGCCCCCGCTCCTCTGGCCTACTCCGCCCCCATCGCCCACGCCGCCCCCATCGGCTTCGCCGCCCACACCACCTTCTCCACCCCCTACGCCGCGTACGCGTACTAGAGTGGATGAAAAAGACTGACTTGAGCCGTTGAGCTTGTAAATGTACAAATAAAAAAGAAAAAACAACTAACTTGGAGCTTTTGTCTTTCCCTCAGAGTTTTTAGAGTGAACAAATGCATCCTATGAACACATAAGAAGCCGGTAAGAGAAAGAGCGGAAACAATGACTTCTGATTTATCGCATGATTGATATACATTTGATGGGCTAGATTCCTCTGTAACTGCAGACAACAAAGACGAGAAGGCACACATTAGTAAAAAAGAAACGACGATATTTAAGAAAAATGTAAGACAGAATGCCTCAACGCATGTTTTTCTAATTTATTTAACAGTACAACATTGACGTCAGAAACGGAGGATACTTCCTCCACGAAAAGGCGCTTATTCAAACTTACAATGGAAAGGACATTTGACTGGCTGTTCCATAGAACGGCAATACATTTTTAAATAGAAACTAACAATGAAATGTCTTGGGGCAAAAGTTGGTATGTTTAATTGCTCGAGAATCAGCACCTACGTTAGTTTGAAACCATTGTGACACAGCCACTTTTATTGCTAGTGTTCGGTTGCTCGAGAATCAGCACCTACCTTAGTTTGAAACCATTTTGACACAACCACTTTTCTTGCTAGTGTTGTCTTTGAACAGGGCAACACTAAATTTGATCCGACATTCTTAAAGCCATTGAAGCACGGTAGCACCCGATAGTCAAACATTCGATATGTGCTATGTTTTCATTGCAGTGCTAGTCACTGCTTATAAAAGGGCTGCGGTCATGTTCTGAACTGTTTGTTTAGAGTGTTTGAATGAGCAGAAGTACTCTCAGTTGAAAGAGTTCAAAGGAAATCAAAAATAGTCACATGATTTAGACCTACTTTATCATGCCTTATTGAGCAGGATTCTAGACATCCGGTGAAAGTTTTCTTACCGATTTTGGGTCATTCGTTCAGATATTGTTCAAAAGGGTTTATACTTATCAATCAGGAAAAGGAGGTATGCAAGAGAATTGTTTTAAATAATTTATTCCAAAATCCTCGTGGTGAAAGCTTCAGTCTTTACAATCTTTACAGTCTTTACAGGTGTTGCTGGATGTTGCTGCGGCATTTACACAAATCAGTTCATAATCATTTAGTACGCGTACGCCGCGTAGGGGGTGGAGAAGGTAGTGTGGGCAGCGAAGCCGATGGGGGCGGCGTGGGCGATGGGGGCGGAGTAGGCGAGGGGGGCGGGGGCGATGGTCTTGGCGATGGGGGCGGCGTAGCTCAGGGGGGCAGAGTAGGCCAGGGGAGCGGCGTGGGCGATGGGGGCGGAGTAGGCAATGGGGGCGGGGGCGATGGTCTTGGTGATGGGGGCGGCGTAGCTCAGGGGAGCGGCGTAGCTCAGGGGGGCAGAGTAAGCCAGGGGAGCAGGGGCGATGGTCTTGGCGATGGGGGCGGCGTAGCTCAGGGGCGCAGAGTAGGCCAGGGGAGCGGGGGCGATGGCCTTGGCGACGACGGGGGCGGCGTGGACGAGGGGCTCCTTGCGGACGACGGCGTTGAAGCCGTTGACGGGGTCGGCGGTGTAGTCGACGATGCGGCGGGTGCCGTCAGCCTCGTTCAGGGAGTACTGGCCCTGGACGACATCACCCTGGCGGGATTCCTGCTGGTTCTTGGAGTCGCCGGTGATGGCGTCCTGGACATCGTAGGCGTAGCTGTAGCTAGGGTTGGGGTCGAAGTCGGTGTCGACGACGGTCTTGGCCAGGACGGGGGATGAGTAGGCCAGGGGAGCGGCAGGGAGGAGACCGGCCTGGGCCACGGCCACCAGGGCGGCGAGGATGACGTACTGCGAGCACAGACAAGCAATCATGAAAAGGTCCCAACTTTGATCTCATCACAACGACACTTGATTCCAAAGCAACGTGCGCTTACCTTGAATGCCATGTCTGCTGTGTTCGCTGAGAGGATCGGAACTGGTGCCTCTGCAAACGGCACCGTCAGCTTTTATACCGGGGATGTGAGGGGGAGTGAAGCCCCTCGCATGCACCGAGTCCGTGCCGCCGGCCCCCACCCGGCTTGCCCCCACTCCAGCCGCCGGGGGTGGAACAGACCGGACCCACTCCCGAACAAGTGAGGGCTGCCTGAGAAATTCCGCTGCGTGACTTGCGAGTTGGGCGACACATGGATCCGTTCAAGAACGTGGCGAAGACTATTCGGGCAAAGAGGCTTCATCTCGCTCTGGACAATTATAGTAAGCTTTTGGTCACAGAGGCGGAAACAGCGTAGGCCTTAAAACCCGATTCGGCGAATTCAATTAGAGCCACGTTTCGCTGAGAGCAGTTATAGAATCGCCACCAACTGGTCGGCCCACAGTGACAACAAAGGACCCAAACAGGTCCAGTCCTCGTCGCACTCGGCGCGCAGTACCGCGAGACAGACAAGGACGGCCCGCCAAACCACACCCACGAGTACACTCTAAGCGCACCGCACGCTGGGCCGTGTTGCCGCCTTTTATTTTTATCTCGTGATTAAGAGAGAAGATGGAGTATCGCGCGCCATGCACGGACCAGTTGCCCGGCGGCCGAGCGCGCAAGGCCTCGCAGCGTGTTATCATATTGTAAAATAAATTTGGATGCATGCAGCAGTCGCGCAGGCTGCTGTGTGCGCGTGTGTGAGTGTTTTCCTCGTAATAATGCAGTGCGGTAGCCACAACTTTGATTGTGCGGAACCATTCAGTCCGAGTTAGTTTCGAGAGGGCCAGAGGGGGCAGTGTGGACTTGGATTGCCCGCAGAGATCGGTGGGTCGGACAGGGGCCGACCACGCGCAGGGACCAACAAAGGGAAGCCTTTCTGCGGTCTGCCTTTCTGTTACACAGGGCGGTGCAGGATGTGCGTTCCGATGCAAGGTCAATGTCAGTGCGGTTTCGCCGACGCCCGGCCGGCCAGCATTCCGGGGGGCTTTGCGTGGCTTTGCGCTTCGAAGGGGCAATTTATTAAGCAGCTCCCATTTCAAGGTCGCCGCGCGGTTCCGTTTTTCACGCGCTGTCCACACAGGCCCGGCCGGGCGCACGGCCCACACCCTGCGGCCGGCCGGCCTGCGCGCGGGCTTCAGGTGCTGCCCGTCAGACGGATTCCCCGCCGGGGCAAGTTTCCATTTCGGTTGTGCGACATGTGTCCTCAACGCCGTCTCCGAGGCTAGCACTGCAGGGTGAAGAACCACGGCTGTCCGGTGCAGTGACGTACGCCCACAGAGGAAACAGGCCAGAATTATATTTTTTTTTTGGCAAAGCTGAACGAAACGTGCTGCGGCCTTCCATGCCCGAAACACTCTGCAGATTATCAGAGTAGCGTTTGGCTGCACCGCCCGGCCGGCAGCGTCATTCAAGGTCAGGCGGGGAGTGCGTGTCGCGAATGCACCGCAACAACCATTGACTGGAGTTGAGTTGTTGATCCGTGCGCGTGCCGCCGCGCCGTGCCGTGCCACGCTGCGAATTCGGGGCGGGGCGGCCCAGCCGGACGGGTTTGGCGCCGAGGCGGGGCGGGGCGGGGCGGGGCGGGGCAGACTGGGGCGATCCCTATCAAAGCGCCATATCATATCGCTTTTGGCAGCCAGGTGCAACAAGGGAGGCCCCGGGCGAACCGCCCCCGCCAACCGTCCGTGCAAAACACGACAAAATTGCACTCTTAATTTGGACCCACACCGTCGGTCCTCCGCTACAGGCTCATGTAAGCAACAACGTTAAGAAGAAACAAACGCGTCGAGACGGATGTGACAAGGGTGAGTGTGGCGAATTTCTTGCTGGGCGCCTCGTTTGCAGTGTACTCCACGGGCCGACTTGGCGAGTTGCTTACTGACGAGCCCTTGTGAGTGACGCCGGGGTTGAGGGACTGGGGTGGACAGGGCCACCGCCGAGGACGCTCGCAAGGCCGAGTGGAACTGGATCGTCCGGCCGCGCCCCGCCCCGCCCGCCCCGCCCCGCCCCGCCCCGCCCCCCGCCCCGCCACGCCCCGCGCGCGAACGCCCCCCGCGTCTTGCACCTGCACTCCGGGTTTCGCTCGCAGGAAAGCAAACGTCCTTTGAAACGAGACGACAGCTATAATAAGGCTTGGTCGTTCTTCTGGCTCGCCACTTCAAAATTCGCGCCGACGGACACGCCAAACCAACGACCCGGTCATTACGAAAGCGTTGCAATTTTGCGCGAGCGACGCGCGAGCACGCTGTGCCTCGGCCGCGCCGGTCTGGGCGGTGGGAGCATCTCGGCAACAGCTTCATCATTTCGGCTCGCATGCGGACTGACGAGCCCGTTCTCTCGTTCGCGGGGCGCCCGGTAGGGACACAACGCACAGTGGGCCAGAAGACCGGTGGAGGCGGCCAAAGCTCCAGACACGTTTTCAGCTCCAGAGTCGCTAAATGGGACTCGAACCGAACGTGTGACCCCACCAATGGATTCCTCGTTCGGAGAGCTATCCAATGGTGGGGTCACACGCTTCGTTCGAGTCCCATTGGCCGCCTCCACCGGTCTTCTGGCCCACTGTGCAACGATGAAAGCCACTGTTTAAGATCAAACTGCGGAGCGCAAGCGCACTGGCCGGTCCGAATAGGAACCAAGGCAATAAGGCGAACAATTTCAATGGGATTCTTGCCGTCCTCGGCGCGGCGGGCGCAGCCAGCGCGGCCATCACGGCACAGCGTCGCCGCGTCCGGCCAAAACGAGTAAAACGATGCGCATTGGCCGGCATTGGCCGGCATTGCCGGACGCCGGCCAGTGCAGGCACTGCAGGCCGGCCTGATCACGGGTTGCGCTGCTGCTTCGTTAGACCGTGTCCTTTCGCATCTTTTTGTTCTCTTTACGGGGAACGGGGCAGTGGGCCGAGAAAACAAACAAACGCCGTGCGAGTTCTTTTTATTTGTGTTTTTTTTTGTCCCGGGTAACAGCGAGGTGTTCCGTCCGGCACAATCAGGTGGCTTTTCGCTCCAGAGTGCGTCTTCGGTCGAATTGAAAGTGAGGAGGAGTAGAAATTGAAAAAACAAAACTGCCAAGATTGTGCTGCTCCATCCATCCATCCAGATCACAGACAACAAAAGGGGGAATCGATCTACATTTTTGAACTGTCATGATAAATGTACAGGTGGCTGCTCCCCTAGTAGGCGTAGCTGACGAAGGGGTTGGAGAAGGCGGTGAACACGGCGCTGGTGTAGCCCGGGCCGGTGGCGAAGTGCACGGGCGGGTCCGGGTGGGGGAACCTGATGGCGGACTGCTGGTCGACGCCGTCCTGGGAGGCCGCCTGGTAGGGCAGCAGGGAGAACACGGTGGGGCCCTGCGGTGCGCGCAGCGCTTGCTGCTGCTGACTGTACTGCTGTTGCTGGCTGTACTGCTGCTGCTGACTGAACTGCTGCTGCTGACTGTACTGCTGCTGCTGACTGTACTGCTGCTGCTGACTGTACGGCTGCTGACTGTACTGCTGCTGCCCGAAGAACAGGAACGACGCCGGGGCCTGGGGCGCCGCGACGCTGGGGACGCCAGTCGGCGTCGGCGCGAGCGTCAGCAGGGGCAGCGGCTGGGCGCTGACGAGCAGGTGCGGTCCCTGCAGGCGGACTCTGCTGCCCGACGACGAAGCCTTCCGCGAGGACGACCCGTCGCCGCCGATGTTCACCACGTCCTCGGAGCGCGGCCGGTGCACGTCGACGGACACGAACCGCGCCGAGATCGGCCCCGGCGTGCTGGACTCGACGAGCACCTGTCGCTGCGGCGCCGGCGGCACCACCTGGACTAGAGGTGGCGGTGGAGGCGGCACGGCCGTCGGCGCGCTCTGGAAGACGAGCTGCTGCGGCGGCCGCACGAACAGCACCGCCGGCGCGGACAGGCGGAGCAGCGGCGCGGGGGCCGACGAGTAGGACACGCCGGGGTCGAAGGGGCCCAGCCCCGGCGGCGCCTTGACGAACAGGGCGGCGCCGACGCCGGGCCCGGCGTCGCGACGCACCACGGCGGTGAAGCCGTGCACCGGGTCGGCCGAGTACTGCACCGTGCGGTGGCTGCCGTCGGGGTCCACCAGCGAGTAGCTGCCCAGCACCACGCCGTTGGCAGGGCCTTGCAGCGGGCCTTGGAGCGGGCTCTGCGTCGGGCGGCGCTCAGTCGGCTGCTTCTTGTCCTGCGCCGCGTACCCGAAGCCAAACTGCTGCGGCTCCTTCTTGGGGTCGTCGTTGTTCTTGTCGGCACCCTTGTCGTCGTCGTCATCCTCCTCGTCGTCCTCGTCCTGCAGGGTGTTCTGCTCCTTGTTGGCCGAGACGGCCTTGTCGGCGGCGGGGGCGTTGGCGGCGGGCGTCGGCACGGTGGTGGGGCCGCGCACGGACAGGGCCGAGAGGCGGCCGGCCACGGCCAGCAGCAGCACAAGGACGATCTGCCGGCAAAGTCGCATCGAACTCGACGTGGCCCTGGCTCCAACACTGCACTGGGCCAGAAGACCGGCGCAGGTGGTTTTAACACCTCTCGCTCAACAGGAGTCAAACCAGACTTGTGACCCCACCAATAGACTCCTCGTTCGGAGAGCGGTCCGTTGGACGGGTCACACGACCGATTTGAGTTGCATTTAGCGACTCTGGAGCTTAAAACACGTCCGCGATTTTGACCGTCTCCACCGGTCTTCTGGCCCACTGCGCACTGCGGCGCGGTACTGTACCTTGGGGTCCATGGCGAGCTGCAGGCCGCTGCAGCACTACGGCGCGCGGCGCACGGCGCGGCGCTATATATAAGTGCAGCGCTGCAACGCCCTGCACCGCCCTGCGAGGAAGGCACCGAGACCTTTCTGTCTTCGTCAGCTAGACCGCTCTCCGTCTATCCCGCAGGTGGCCCGACCCGCCCGGCGCGTGGCGCGGGCGTGGCGCGGGGCGGGTCAACGCGGCGATATGGGGCCAGCGCAGGAATGTCCGTTCGAAAAGGTTCCGACAAGGAGGAAGCCTCGCGGGGCAGGCCGGAGTGGCAGCCCCGCAACGACAACGCACCACAAAGACTTGAAAAAAAATATAA